CTGATTTCCCAGAAAGGATGTCACAGGACCATCAAATCACAGTAAAGTTGAGGTTTGGAGGGACAGGACTGGAGCCAGTATTGACCCCTGTAGTGCCCCACTGGTGACCAGCCTCCATCGAGACCTGATGCCACTGACCACCATTCTCTGGGCTCGGCCGTTCAGCCAGGTTTCAACCACCTCACTGTCTGCTTCTCCAGCCTCTGCTTCACCAGCTCATCGATGAGGATTCTCTGGGAGACACTGCCAAAAGCCTCCCTGAAGTCCAGGTGGACAATTTCTACTCCTCTACCAAGCCAGTCACACTGGAGAAGTTTATCAGGTTATCAGATAGGAAGGACATTTCCTTTTGTTGGCTGTGCCCTGGGCCTCTGTGTATATGTTGGGGTCTGGCACTTGGAGGGCCGTGATGTTGTGCCATTGTCCACCCTATACAGATTTGGCCAGCTCAAACCCAGGGGACATATGAGGGAAATGCTACAAATGCTTTCTTTGCTTGATAGCAAGGAAACACTAGTGGGCTCTATGTAACCTCTTCAACCAGCATTGCTCTCAGCTCTGTTTAGATGCAATGGAGACATTAAGTGTCTTAATAGAAATATGTCTTGGAATCAATTTCTCCATTCAAAATATAAATAGGAAATGTGTTTTAGAAATGGATGTATAAGTCTATATTTTTGAAGTGGGAATGAAACTGTCATGGGCTTGTTGGTGTATTCAGGTGTTTCTGAAGTTCCCCCCATTACATTGCCAGTGAGAGCAATCAGTTCATCATCCCCCCCATAGCCCTGGCAGGACATAACCTCATAAGGCACATTTTGCAGACTCCCCCATTATCCAACCCTTTCCATACCCCAACTGTGTCCCCTGTGGGGATTCACAGACCGCCCTTCTCTTCAGTCTGCCAGGGTCTGCGCCAGGAGAGAGGCCGGGCAGGGCTGGCTGGTCCCCCCATACAGGCACTGAGACCAGCAGGAGGATGGAGATGGTTTAGCAGCAGCGCTCACCCATAAACCTGGGTGAGCAGCCAGTGCTGGAAGTGGCCAGTGAGAGAGGCTGGGGGTGATGAATTCTGTATCCCGGGTGAGCCCCCAGTTGTGAGAAACAAGCCCACGTATATTTCAAAATATGTTTTACTGGGGACAGAGTCAGTGGAGCAAAGAATACAGCGTTCCCCACCATGTTTGTGACGTCACAGAGGACCCTCTGGTGTTTCCAACCACAATTGTGACATCATAGAGGACCCTTGGGGTTCCCCACCAGGGCTGTGACATCATAAAGGACCTTTGGTGTTCTGCATCAGGATTGAGATGTCATAGCAAGCTCTTGGGGCTCCCTACCAGTGTTGTGACATCATAGTTGACCCCTGTGTAGTGGGAGTGGGCTTATGGCATCACAGGGGAGCTCATGGGGTTGAGGTGGGGATCCACAATGGAATTGCAGTATCAGAGTCTCACTTAGTTCTGATGGGGATTCCCCAACCCTGGGTTGTGATGTCACTGGTGGGTTATGACATCCGTGAGGGGGTGGTTCCCCTGCCCTATGATTTCACTCATGACCCCACCTCCCAGGCATGGTGGCATGAGGAGAATGACAGACTCCGACAACTCTATAAGACTCAGAAATCAAAATCGTTTATTGCCGATACAAGTGCGCTTATATGTCTGCCTAACAACTGATCAGACATAAACAGAAGGCTGGATTGGTTACATGCATTCCTCACACACTGTTCACACGCCCAAGACTAACGTTTGATTGGTCACTACCCTCTGTCCATAATACACCAGACAATTCATTGGCTACAAGTTAGTTACTGGTATCCTAAAGCCTATTGGTTAATTAAATCTTACAAGCACAAACACAATGTTCTGTACACTTTTAGCACAAGGTAGAAAACTTTCCACTGTTTAAGAAACGACCAGATGTTTCCCATCAACCATAGCCTGGCATGTTTTCTTCAGACAAAGCTCAGCATCCTTATCTTGTTTTTCTACATTCCTGTTCGCTACTCCCAAGGCTTCTGGCTGATGAAGGTCAAAATGTTCTCATCATTCACCAGCTGTAGAGCTCTCTCAGTTCTCCTCCCTCTTTTCACGTCCCTTTTGCGATGTAGCCAAAGTCTTGCTCCTGTCCAATGTGGCCGTTGTCCTCCAAAAATGATCCCACAGTAGCAGAGGAGAGGAAACTCTTTGACATGGATGAGCACTCTGGGGGACCCTGAGACCCATGAATCCTCATTTTGGGAGGGGCCACAGGGTCCCCTGACACTCCCCCCCCAAATAATTTGAGGGGGGTTTTGTGTTGTTTGAACCACAAGCCCGAATTTGCAGGGCGCTACAGTGTTTCCTGCAAACAACACCCAATTATTTTTGGGCTGATCCCTGAGACCCTCCAAACCCCTATTTTGAAAGGGTTGTGTGGTCAGTTGACGCTCCACTTAATTCAGTTTTGGTTGCCCCCCTACTCTGTCTTCCATTTTGGTAGGCTGTTGGGATCTCTGACCCCCCCACAACCTTCCACTTTGGTTTGCCTGCCCCTCCCCCCCCCCATTATATAGGTGGTGGTTTGGGTTTTCTCCCCCCCAATATCTTTCATTTTTGGGAGTGGTGACAGTCTGAATCCCCAAAACTCCTGATTTTTGTGGGGCTAAATCATTCCCCGCCCCCCTGAAATTATTTGTGAGTAGTTCCAGTGTTCCCACACCAGCCTATATTGAGGGCCATTCAGTGCACCCCCTCCAGCTTGCCAACATCCTTCCTGTACTGGGGATCTGCAATCCAGACACAGTAACCTGGACAAGCCCCTATCTTGATCTCCTGGCCATCCTGCTGGCCACAAAGTGCAGCTGGCCTCCCTTGCTGCCAGGGCACATGGCTGCCTCCTCTCCAACCCACCAAGACCTTTCCCACGGGGCTTCTCCCAGCCAGGCAGCTCCCAGCCTGTGCCATTGCCAGGGGGATGTCCTGCAGGGTCACACACGGGCACTTGGCCTTGCTGGGTTGCCTGAGGTTCCTGCCAATGCGTGCTCTCCTGCTCGTGGAGCCCTTTCCCTCAGCACAGAGACCTGAAGACCTTTTCAGAAAAGACTCAGGCAAAGAGGGCTTTGAGTGCCCCAGCCCCACCTGCCTCTGCTGTTATTAAATCAGCCTTCCCATTCAGCAGTAGCCCTGCATGTTCCCTCTTCAGCCTTGGTCTCTAATGAGCGATTGAAGCTCTTCCTTTTGCTTTTGACTGTCCTTGCAACCACTGGCTCCTGGCAAGCTTTTCCTTCCTAAGGAGAGTAAAGTCAAGACATAGAAATTTGTCCTTTGTAAGCTGTCCTTGCTGTCACCTCCTGGCAGCTGCTTCATGGTCCCTGTCAGAGCCAGCCCTGTCCCTGTGCTGACCCAGCCTCCCTGCCCCACAAATACATTATCGTCAAGGGAAGACCTGTGGTGCAAGGAAGGGTGTCTGCCAAGCAAAACCATGGCCACTGGAGAAAGGGAAGCAAGGGCAGGCAGTTGCTCTGCTAGGCTATGTTACTGCAAGATCTCTATAGCAAGACAAAGTATCTCCCTCCAGGAGTTGGTTTTACACCTTCTGTCTGTTCAGGGTTGCTCATTTGGAAGAGCACCTGGAATAACATTCCAAGGTTTGGACAAGCTTCAGCTGACCCTCAGCAATGCACCCTTTGATGAAGGGCAGGTGACGGAGCTCCTTGGAACCTGCTACAGAAGCAAAGGCAGCAATGATGGAGAGATGTCAGTAAAGGAGGGGAGATGCTGAGTGGAGAGAGAGGTGGGTTAGTTGTGTTGACGCCTCCAGCCTGGTGTGGAACAGAGGTGCAAGATGCTGTAGGACAGCTTGTGGTGGAGACAGCCATGTGCTCTAAGAAGCAACATCTCTGTGCATAATTTTTATTAATTTTTCAATTCTTGCAAATAAAGGAATTTCCAGAATGTAGCCTAAACAAAGAAGATATTAATATTAAATTTTTTGGTTTGTTGGTTTTTTTTGTTTGTTTGTTTGTTTGTTTGTTTGTTTGTTTGTTTGTTATCTTGTTTTTGCAATTTTGTTCAGTTTTCATCTTCTAGATCAAGGAATATCTACATTCTCCAATTTATATTGACCCTGCATGTGCCCTGATGGAGTCTGAAAAAGCATGTAGGAAAAGCAAGCTCAGTGAGGTCACACACTATATGGCCAATCTTGATGACTATGTCCCCAACACTGACGTGTGTCCTATCAGCCACCGGGGTTTTTTCAGCTCTAGTCTTTCTGTCACAGGAAGTTGTTTTTTTATTGCCAACATATAATAATAAAGGTTCATAGTTCAACAGAAAAAAACCTAAATAAGTCTTCTGAACCTCCACTTTCCACAGTGGATGACTGTGGGGGGTGTACGTGACAAGGGGTTGGTGGCCGGAGGGGCTGCAAGGGTGGCCTCTGTGGGAGGAGGCCAGGGATTGCCCTGTGCCAGACAGAGCTGTTTCCAGCTCCACAATAGACTCAGCGCAGGACACTGAGAAGCCCATCAGCAAATCTGGTCATGTCCCTGTGAAAACTTCTTCAGGAACTGGCAGCAAACACCAGACTGGTAAAGGTGGAGAGAACAAACATATTGAGAAACAACGGAGGGAACACCAATGTAGGAGAAAGAGGAGGAGGTGCTCCATGGTGGAGCAGATCTCCCTGTAGCCCATGGAGGACCAGTGCCAGAGCAGAGCAAAACTGGGGAAAAGAAGGAATAATAGATAAAAACTGTTATGTGCTGGTTGTGACACCCCATCCCAAACACCCCTGCACTGCTCGGGATGGGGAGAGGAGCCTAGAGTGAAGGAGTGAGTTAAGCTCCCCCAAGTCAAGTCTTGCCCGCAATGGGAACTGGGAAGTGATGTCCTTGTCATTGTCTCCCCCCAGGAGCCTTCTCATTCCCATTCTTCCTATTTTCTTCCCCATCCCACTGGGGTGGGAGAGGGAGTGAGCGAGCAGCTGGGTGGGAGTTGGGTTATTAGCCACGGTTAGCCCACCACAGCAGTAAGATGCCTCGGCTGGTGGATGAGGGGAGAGCAGGGAACGTGTTTCAGCTCAATATTAATAAGGCTTTTCTCACTGAATCCCATCACAGCCTCACAGGCATGAGTGAGGTGGACTGGAAACAGGATGAAAGGCCGGGTCCAGAAGGCCATGACCCATAGCACAAAGTCCCCTCGGGAGCTGATCACCAGCGATGTACCCCAGGGGTCCATACTGAGTCCTGATCTGTTAAACGTCTTCACTGATGAACTGGAAAAATAGGACAGAGCGCAACCTCACAGCAAGTGCAGACAGCCCTTCTCTGGGGTCTGGCGGGGTCTGCGCCAGAAGAGAGGCCAGACAGGGCTGGCTGGTCCCCCCATACAGGCACTGAGACCAGCAGGAGGATGGAGATGGTTTAGCAGCAACGCTCACCCATAAACCTGGGTGAGCAGCCAGTGATGGAAATGGCCAGTGAGATAGGCTGGGGGGTGCTGCAGAGCTCTGGGCACTCACCCCACAGCCCCAGCCCCTCGGAAGGTCACAGCAGCTCCTGGGGCACAGAGGGCTCTCAGCCTCCCCATCAGCCCCAGGGCTGGCGCCAGCCATGGCATGAGCAGACGCAGGCCAGCGTCTCCCTCTCTCTGCTGCTCTTCTCTCCAAGAGATCCTGATTGCCCAGTGCTGGCAGCCCCTTTGTGCCCATCCCTCTCCCCAGCACAAGACTCCTGCACTGGGGGCTCCCCAGGCAGCTCCTGCTGTGCCAGCCAGAGAAAAGCTGCCCAAACTGGTGCCTCCAGAAATAGGTCTGCTCTTGTCGCGGGATGTCACCTCAGGCACGGCCCTGAGCTGGCGGTGCTGCTCTGCAGGGCAGTGGTGGCTGAAAGCCATGGGGAGATGGTCCCAGGGAGATCCCCATGGATCAGCCATCATTTCCATTGCACTGGGCACCCCCACGTGAAGGGGCAGCACAGGCCTATTCCCTAACACATCCCCCCATGCCCTCCTGCCCTGAACCCCTGGAGAACCCCAGCACAGCAGCACGCTCAGAGGGGCAATTCCTTCAGCCTGTTCCTGACCTCAGCTTTGGAACAAGAGACCAACCTCCAGACATCGGTACTAAGAAAATCCCCTTTTATTATGGTTATGTGGCATGGGAGGCCAGCTGTCCCGTCCTACCAGACACACGCACAAAGGGCTCTGGATCAGAGAAGCTGGTTCATGTTTCTGAGGAAGAAGAGTGACTGCAGATATTTCTAGAAAAAAAAAGATTTAGACAAATAAAATGATCAATGTACGGTAGGATTCAGAGATGAATTTGAAACAGTTCTGAAGAAAAAAGAGGCATTTTATTGCTGCAGAGAGGAAATTGACTGAATCAGCTTCTTCAGTGCATCCTTGATCCCCTGGTTCCTCATGCTGTAGATGAGGGGGTTCACTGCTGGAGGCACCACCGAATACAGAAATGACACCACCAGGTCCAGGGATGGGGAGGAGATTGAGGGGGGTTTCAGGTAGGCAAACATGCCAGTGGTGACAAACAAGGAGACCACAGCAAGGTGAGGGAGGCAAGTGGAAAAGGCTTTGTGCCGTCCCTGCTCAGAGGGGATCCTTAACATGGCCCTGAGGATCTGCACATAGGACAGCACGATGAAAACAAAACACCCAAATCCTAAACAGACACTAACCACAAGGAGCCCAACTTCCCTGCGGTAGGAATCTGAGCAGGAGAGCTTGAGGATCTGGGGGATTTCACAGAAGAACTGGTCCACAGCAATCCCCTGGCAGAATGGTAGGGAAAATGTGTTGGCAGTGTGCAGGAGAGAATAGAGAAACCCACCGCCCCAGGCAGCTGCTGCCATGTGGACACAAGCTCTGCTGCCCAGGAGGGTCCCGTAGTGCAGGGGTTGGCAGATGGCAACGTAGCGGTCATAGGCCATGATGGTGAGAAGAGAAAACTCTGATGGTAACAAAAATAGAAACAGAAATACTTGTGCAGCACATCCCAAGTAAGAGATGTCCCTGGTGTCTGTTAGTAAATTTAACATGGCTTTGGGGAGAGTGGTGGAGATGGAGCCCAGGTCGAGGAGGGAGAGGTTGAGGAGGAAGAAGTACATGGGGGTGTGGAGATGGTGGTCGCAGGCGATGGCTGTGATGATGAGGCCGTTTCCCAGGAGGGGCAGCCAGGTAGATGCCCAGGAAGAAACAGAAGTATAAGAGCTGCAGCTCCCGCATGTCTGCAAATGCCAGGAGGAGGAAGTGGGTGATGGATCTGTTATTTAACATTTGCTTTGTCTGGACATATGAGCCTGTTCAAGGAGGAAAGATGACAACACATTAGGGTATATTTCTCTTATAAATATCAACACCCTCTGTCCTTATCCCATCCCAGCCACTACATGGCACCCCCCTTTTTGAGATCTTCCTTCAGCTCTGTAGCTGGAGCTGTGGTAGGTGCTGGACAAGCATTTCATGAGGGGAAGGGTTTTGGCATGTTGTCTGCCAAGGAGTCAGCTCTTTGTGTGACTCTGTCAGAAAAACCTGCCCTAACCCAGAAGGGCTTGTCAGCCTTTGCTCTACCAGTGGTGAGGAATGGGGAAAGCAGAAGACAGGCTGAGAGGGTTTTCTGCTGCACTCAGGGAGAGCAGAGTGAGTCAAGTGAGGCAAGAGGATTTTCTGTGCCTTAGTGCAGAGTGAGGGCAGCTGGTCTGTCTTTCTGTCTTGTTCCCGTCTGCCCTGAATTACACCTTTCTGAGTTCAAGGGTGATTACACTCCCATGTTACCCTGAAAATCAACCAGACACTGCTGAGAGCAGAGGGATCCTCTGCAGAGCACCAGATGACTCACCCTTTCCCCAAGTCTCAGCACCCCACTTTAGCCAATGACACCCACAGCTCACAGAGTCCTCTGGAAGCAGCAGACAGCTGGGATGGACACCCCAAGGAGAGAGCCAAGGGTCCGAACCACGGCAACTTCTTAAGGGAGAGCCGGCTCCTGGCCCAGCCTCACAGACTGCATTGCCCAGAGCTTCACGGCTTAGAGGAAAGCTGGGACACCTCATTGCTGGGGGCACATCTGCAGAGGAGGGCTCCCAAGCTCTGTGCCTGACTCTGCAGCTGGAACCCCCCTTCCCAGAGAGCTTGTCAGCAACACCAAGGGCATCTGAGCAAGGCAAGGAGAGGGACAGACGGGCTCTCAGGAAAGCCTTTCCCTTCGGCAGCTCTGCACAGCACCTCCCAGACAGCAGCAATGCAGGACAGTCGCCCTCAGGCCCTGCTCAGCAGGAACTGGGCCCCTGGCAGCAGAGATGCACTTCATCCCTTCTGCTGGGCTGCTGGGCCAGGAGGTGACTAACGGCCAGGAGCCACGGGCTAAGGGCTGTGCTGGGTGGCAGAGGAGACAAGAGGAGTGTTGCTCAGGGAAGGAGTCTGCCCTGCAGCAGGGTTTCCCTTAGCATTTCCCTCCCTCCCTGCCCATGTCTCCACTGCCTTGAGGTGTCCAGGCTGGCAGTTCTGTCTTTGAGCCCATGTTTCCTCCCTGCCAGTGCTCACAGTCCCCATCCCAGCCCCTGTGAGCACAGCTCTGCCCTGCAGTATCTCTGTGTGTGCAGGGCTTAAAGCACAGCCCACGCAAACCTGATGAAAAAGGAAAGGTGATGCTGGTGTGTTCTGTAGGCTGGTGGGGGCTGAAGGCACTTTCTGAGGTTCATATAATTATCATTGTGAAAGCTTAAGTGTGTCAGACCCCACTCTCATCTACACAGCTGTATTTCCTTTTCCCACCAAGAAGTGTCAGAGAAAATAGGAAGTAGAGAGTCTAGAAAGAACCAACAGAAGCATGAAATCTCTGAGCTGGAAGTATTTGTGACAAATTCCCTGGGAAATGAGCTGGGCATGAGCTGAATCTGTGAGCATCCCTGATCCATGCAGCAGCAGCCTCTGGAGAGCAGAAGGAGCCTGCCCTGGCGGGGTCTCTCCTTCCCCCCACAGCTTCTCCCCACAGCGCCGTGGGGAGCTCCCCGGGCAGGCTGAGTGCTGACCCTGGCAGGCGGCAGAGTCCCTGCCCCAGCACACAGCCCCCTGGGTGCAGGGACCCTGCTGGGAAGGACAGCCCTGGGCACCCCTGCCTGCACACCCGGCTGCACACCCCTGCAGCCGGCCCCGCCAGAAAGCAGCCCTCATGCCCTGGCCCTCGCAGGGGGCACCAGGGAAGCCGAGCTCAGGAGCAGCTACTCCTCCTCCTCCTCCTCCTCCTTTAGGCAGGAGGCAGATTCCTGGCGGCTCTGCCGCCTTCCCCAGATCCCTCCCCGAGCTGCAGCTGCATTGCCCTGCACCCCCAGACTTACTGTGGCCAGGGCCCTGACGCTTTCTCCTCCTCGGAGCTCTCAGCAGCCTCCCAGCCCAGGCTGCCTTGAAGCTGTGTGTGCCTCGCTGCTCTGCCCTGGGTGCCTGCAGGCAGTGCCCCCAGCCCTGCTGCGCTTTGCAGAGGAGCTGCTCCTGGGCAGAGCTGTCTCTCTGCAGCGCTGCCCACTTGCCAGGAGCTCCCTCCGGCCCAGGAGCCCGGCCCAGCTCAGCACCACAGCAACAGCCTAAGGCAGTTTAATGACCCCTCAGGAGGGTTTGGTGCCAAGTCCGTCAACCTCAGGCACACAGAGAAGCTGAATAAACCTCTGAAGAAGTCAGAGTTATTTTCAAACTCCAAGATTTCCTGGAGTGTTAATGGCTCCCACTGAGGGACACTGTTGACAAAGCCTCCTCAGGGTCCTGTTAGAGCAGAAATCTGGAGGCAGTGATGAGAAGTTGGGAACTAAAAGGGAAAGGTGGCTCTGATGCTGAGTAAACCTGAATGTGTTGCATTAAGGCAAAGTTCCAAGCCCAAAGCCCATTAACCAAATGGCCAAGCCACGACCCCCAGCCCCTGGGAAGGGAGATCCTGTCCCTCCCACATTCCTCAGGGCTCTTCCTGGGGTAGGGGGTATGGAGATGTGCACCTCCCAGGCTCCTGAGGATGCACAAGGAGGCCATGAGGCCCCTGTGCTGCAAGGGACTGTGCCTCCTCACAGGCATCAGTGTCAGGGGCAGCATCCATAGCCAAAATCGTGATGGGGTTGACATTACTGGGGGCTTTCAGCTTTCCCACAGCCCTCTGTCATCTCCACCACAGGCTGTCCTATGGGGTTGCATGCCCTGCGCCTCTTTCCCTGCAGGCTGTCCTCATCCCCCCGGCTGTCTCACCTCGCTCCCCCTGAGCATCTTCCTTTCTTTCCTGATCTCTCACCATCCTCCCTGGATCTTCCTTGAAAAACAAAGTCTTGTTCTGATCTGTACTCCTCCTGGGTCATGTGTTGCACCACAGCATTTATCCTGTTGTCCAGTCTGGACTTCCCCAGCTGCACAGTATGACATTATTTCTTTCTCATGCTGTTTTCCACTGTGAAGAAAAAGTCCACCGTCTCTCAAACCACCCTTCAAGGGTTCTTGGGCTACTCCTAGACTGTCCCAAGTCTCCACAACACTTAGTCCAGAATGTTTATATCTAAGCACATTGCACATGGGCTTGAGTCCTCTAAACCCCATCTTGGGGTGATGTCTGGGTACTCTCAAAGGTGTTTGGAGATGAAAACATAGTGGTTACAGGTCAAGAAAGATGGAGTGATACTTCTCACCAGGATCTGTATTGGAAGGGCAAGTGGCAATGGTGTTAAAATGAAAGAGGGTAGATTTAGATTTGAAATAAGGAAGAAATGTTTTACGATGAGGATGCTGAGATACTGGAACAGGTTGCCTAGAGCAGTTCCAGGGAGGGGCAATCCACCACTTCTCTGGGCAACCTCTTCCAGTGTTTCACCATCCTCATAGTAAAGAATTTCCTCCTTTTATCTAAGCTAAATCTACCCTCTTTCAGTTTAAACCCATTACCCTTTGTCCTATCCCTGCAATCCCTGATAAATAGTCTCTCCCCATCTTTCCTGTAGCCCTGTTTAAGTCCTGGAAGGCCACTAGAATTTCTCCCTTGGAGCCTTCTCTTCTTCAGTCTGAACAAAACAAACTCTCTCAGCCTGTTCTCACAAGGGAGGTGTTCCAGCCCCCCAGTCATCTTCATGGCCTCCTCTGGACCTGCTTGAGCATGTCCATGTCCTTTTTATGTTTGGATCACGAGAGCTGGAAACCAGACTACAGTGCCGGTCTCATGAGAGCGGAGCAGAATGGGAGAATCCCCCACCTTGACCTGCTGGCCACACTTCTTTTGATGCAGCCCAGGACACAATTGGTTTTCTGGCCTGCGAGTGCACAGTGCTGGTTCGCAGCTAGTTTTCCATGAACTACCACCCCCAAGTCCTTCTCCGCAGGCCTGCTCTCAATCCACTCCTTGCCCAGAATCTATTTGTATGTGAGGTTGTCCCAAGCCATGGGTAGGACCTTGAACTTGGCCTTGTTGAACTTCATGAGGTTTGTATGGGTCTACTTCTCCAGCCACTCGATCCCACTGTCCATGACAGCGACAAAGATGTCAATCAATACCAGCCCCAACTCCAACCCCTGAGGAATAACACTCATCTCTGTTCTCCAATTGGACATTGAGACTGTGACCTCAGCAATTTGAGTGTGACCATAAAACCAATTCTTTATCCACCGAGTGGTCTATCCGCCAAATCACTGTCTCTCCAACTTATAGACGAGGATTTCATGCGGGACCATGTCAAGTGCTTTGCACAAGTCCACGTAGATGACATCAGTTGCTCTTCCAACTGTTCTTTGGTGAGGCCAGCAACAGGCAAGACGGGTGTGTGTGCATGTCATGTTGGTGTGTCTGCCAGTGGGTGTAACTCATGGTCTGAGCCTGGTCGGCAGCCAAACACCACACAGCTCCCACCTGGGAATGGGGAAGGAAGCAGAGGGGCAAAGGGAGACTCATGGGTTGAGATAGGAACAGTTGAATAATGGTGATAAAATAATACGGTGGCAGTATGAACGGGTAATGTACAGTGCAATTGCATTACCGCCCGCCGACTGACACCCAGCCGGCTCCCAGCCAGCGATCCTAAAACACAAAGATGCCTCGACAACAATCCCAAAAGTGAGAGCGTGCCCCTTCCCGCCCACCCCTCTTTTATAT